GACAAAACTTATCAACACCAAATTTGGAGCAAATACTATTAAAACCATGCAGTTTACAATATTAAAAATCTGAGATGGTTTTTTACCTTGTTCAAAAGTAATAGTCCTCTGAAAATTGACTAAATTATAAAGCAAATATACCTAAATTCTATTTCACATGATATATTGATATATTTTAGGATATAAGTAAAAACTGTTTCCATATTTTGATTCCTTATACTGGAATTAGGGAGTGGAAAAATCTTGGTCCAATTTCAATAAAATTGGGCAAAATTATGAAAATAATTACAATGGTATAGGGTGAAAATCGAAAATGTTCGCCACAAGCAATTTTTGACCAAATTTGGCTAAATTTCAAATGTTTCTATTTCTGGAAGGAGAAATAATTTTGCAAAAAAAAATGCAGGTATACTTAAACCCATAGCTAGGTACCATCAGTTAAAAAATTGGCCAATTCTGAGGTGTTGGGTTTCATTTCATCAGTGATTTGACATGGAATGACCCACATAGCACACTTCTGATTTAACTTTTAAATTTATAGCACTAAGGATCCAACACCTGAAGGCTTCAGAGAAGTTACCAGTTATTGTAGGAAGTCAGCTGACTCTGGAGTGTATCATTACTGGATCAAGTAGGATGGAAGTCAAGTGGTACAAGGATGGCTTTCCTATAAACAAACGTACTTCCCACCAGAGAATGTGGACAGCTTTTGTACCTAAGAACTCCCAAGACCAATTTACTTATTTACTTGGATTTGATAGAACTGATATACTAGATGCAGGTAAAATGACTTCATAAACTCATTTTTAGATTCTATAAGAATTAATTACTAATGAATATTTAAAGTGACATCTGTGTATTGACTAAGGCACACCCATAGCCAGTTTCTGTGAGTATTGTCATCTCTTTCTACCACTCAATGATATCTCGAATACACATTTTCTTGTCAAGTCTTTTTTTTTTTTCAACATCAGAAGCCAAGCTAAGTTCAAAGTATACAATATTTAAAGTGACATTTACATGCTTTCCCTACTTGGAACAGTACCTGCCTTACTTACATTTGATTATAGAGCATATAAGTTATGAAAGTATAATAGTTTCTGCATCCTTGCTGTTTTTAGTGTTTAACTCTGCTGTTCATACAGGTTTAAAGGGTGCATGCTTATTATCCCCCTCATCAATATCAGGATCTTCAACTAATAAGTATCAACAGCCAACCATCTATCAGGTTTCTCAACAAGTAAGATTCAAAAATTTATAAGAAACGTCTTCTTTGTTCTCAACCAGACTCTACATATTACCTTTCTACACTGACCTGAAGAAGAAATACAAAAGTGATCCAAAGTGTCATGAATCGTAAACTACCTGAAAATTGTCCATATAACTTCACTTTGCATGTTATGTAACAAAGTTTTATTTGTGTTGTTATTCAGCTGAAAGTGTTTGTTTCTTTATTCAGTACAGTAGCTCCCATCATGCTCATTAATCTCAAAACAGTTTCATTCTCTGGACCTAAACATAATTCTGTAGTTTCTGTCTCTTAGCACTGATCGAGTTGATGATAGTTATAAGATCAGTATCATACTTAACATATAATCCTCATTGTTATACTTCCTTGCAATATACCAGAAAAGAGTTGTAGTTCCATTATTAAAGTTTATATGGGAAGGAGATCCTAGCTTCCAATCTAGCTCTTTTATATATGTATATTTGGTATGATTTGCCTTTGAAATTCATATACACACACATCCTTTTATACCTTGTGAAGAACATTGAATGTAGAGGAAACTGTTACGTCTTATTAAAGATACGTGGTAAACACATCATTATAATCCATGCTAAAGATATTTAATATTTAAGGCATCCAATAAAAAGGCTATTGTTATACTTGGCTAATGACATGTAATAAAGAAGCTAGTGTTACTCCTTATTAAGGGCTTGCAATAAAGAAATAACTGTTGTACCTTCTCAAACATATTTATTAAAAATCTTTCCTATACCTTGTTGATGATATGTGTAATAAAATATCAATGTTATATTGTGTTGATGATATACAATAAAGATGTCTTTGTTGTACCAAGCCTAAGTTGAATTTCATTGTAACAAGTTTTAATATTACTGGCAAAATAACAGTATATCTAGTATAAAATGAAAAATTTATATTTGCTTGGGTCACTTTTTTTTGAACATCATTCATACATCATTTCAACATCATTCTTTATGTGTATTTGCATCTTAACAACTAACATTTAATTTTGAGTAACAGCTCAAATCAAGTGAATCCTTGATGAAGAAACATCTATGAAAGTTGTAAAATTTATTAACATTAAAGAAATTGTTATGGACATTTTTTACATTGGCTTATTTTATGAAAATTTGTTTCCTGTTATGCATCGAAAATATGATGAGAATTTGTCATTTCATAAGAAAATCCCAAACCTCATGTATTTTTCACTTCACAGATAAATCAAAAACTAATATAAATCTAATACACTGATATTAAAAATCAATAATAGAAAGAAAGATTCTGTTACAAAATTCGTTGTTTAACCTCAAATATGGAATGTTTCAGAAATATGAGGAAACATTATAGTGAAGGTTTAAAAGAAAGCACAATTTATGTTATTGATCTAACACTTTCTTTAAATTTAGCAATGATTATCACCTTCATTCCAAATTTTCATGTTGCTTAACATTGCACTGATGAGTGTTTGAACTGGCTAAGGTGTATCTTGATAGATTTTTTCATAATATCTCAAACACACCATTTTATATTTAAGTAAGATTCAAACACTTACTGGAAACTTCATTTTTGTCCTTGACCAAACACCACACATTACCTTGCCACACTGATATCAAGAAGGAACACAGAATGATTGAAAATGTCATCATCTTAAACTAACTGGCAAATTGCTCATATAACTTCACTTTGCATGTTGTGTAGCAAAATTTTTCTCTTTGTTGTTACTTAACAAGAAGATCTTTGTCTTCTGGGTATCAGTCATGTGTTAGCTACTTAAGTTTGGATTCTTATTCTTTGCAGGGGTTTTCACGTGTGAAGTCGTGGAATGGGGCAACGTGGATAAAAAACAAATACAAATTTACACCAGAGCTCCACCACAACCAAAGCTCACACCTTTGACTGCCACTGTAAAAGAAGATGACAGAATAGAACTCTATTGTCTATTACAGGAAGATGCCTCTGAAAAATTTGGTTACACCTGGTTAAAAAATGGTGAAATATTAAATCCTTCTAAAGAGCCAGAGATCATAGAAGACTTGTTTCGAACTGGGAGTCGTATGGTTATTACTTCCATCAAATCATCAGCTACATATACCTGCATTGTTACAAGCTCTGCTGGAAGAACAAGCAGGAATAGCATTATCACTGTTCTAAAATTTAATCGTGAGTAATAAAGCTCATTAAGCAGAATCTACTAGATCCAAACTTTCATTACCTGCATTGTAGTTCTATTAATTCTCTATCCACAATGATTGTTTAAGAATCTAATTTGTGATAATAACAATTATGATAGATCAAGGCATGCAGTAGTGTGTCGTGCATCAAAACAACCTGCACAACAAACTGTGTATTATTAACAGGAGGAATAGTTTAGCAGTGTTCCACTTTCTGTAGCTCAAACTGTGATAATCCAAACTATCCCACATTTTCAGTGGAAGTGCTCCAGTTTACTTCATATACCAACTTTAAAAGCAATCCAATAAGACACACATGAGATATAAAATCTCCAATTTTGATTGAATTTCTTCCTATTTTCTTTCTTCACACCAAAAATTTATTTGATTAAACAAATACTTTGATGGATTTTTTTCAAATTTGATACACTGATAGATGTTTATAACCTACAATTGGGCATCAAATTTAGTATCAATATAAGCCACATGTGCAAAGTTATTTGACAAAAATTCAATTTTGAACAAAATGTTTGTGCATGCTCATGCAACATGTCACATGAGCTATCAGCCTGAAATTTTTACCAGAGTTTTATCTAAAATTAAAAGTGGACCATTTTTAGTTTCTTGTCATTCAATTTTAAAGACAGCTTTTTTAAAGAAAAAATGTGATTGGTTCTGCAAAGTATTGGTCTGTTCCGAATAATAGGGTTGCGAGCCTAAAGCTAATATTGATTACTAGCGACAATCACTGTGGTTTGTTGGTGTGTATTGACAAAATGTCATGATATCTAATCAAAAACACCTTAGGTGTGGAAAAAAAAAAAGTGCAGCCAAAAAAGGATTGAGCATATGACTTAAAGGAATTAAATCAAAATTGGCAGCCAAACTGGTAGCTACACTTATAGTATTGATAAGTTGAACAAAAAACATGGCCTGGCTAACTAATGAATGAATATTTGCTGTAAAATTCTTATCAATGCTATAAGTGTAGCTACCAGTTTTGATTTTATTGTTTTAAGTCACATACTCAATCATTCTTTGACCACATCTTTTTTTTTGATAGGGTACATTACATCTTCCCACATGTGTATCTATTCTCCTTCAGTGCTGCCCTCTATATAGAAACATGTTTTCACATGCCACAAGCCTTGAAGTCCCACATACATTACAATCAACACAGCTTAACTGCATCTTGCATGTAAATCATCATGCAACAACCCTCCACCAGTAGGAGGCGAAACATCTTCCTGATTATTGTGACTCTCTCTATTTGATTCTACCAAACTATCACCTCTCGTTAGGCAGTGATCGCCTGCAAGTATTTTTCAGTTGTGCTCTTTTGATGTACTTATTTCTTTTTTTTGTGTGTGAAATAGTAATTTACTTGATTTATTCATTTGTTACAGCTATTTTTTTCTATTGTAGTTTGTCTCCATAACTTATCTTTGTTTATTGATTTTTTTTCATTTTTGACTTCTTCACAGTTTAAGATAAATTCTGAAGTTTGTGTTTTACAACTTCTGATATTATTACTGCTGCTTTTAGTGCCATAACTGGCTTCAGGTCTAGGGTCTTGACTGAAGATTTTTTGGCTCTCATTCTTCAGGAGATTGATCATTATATGATAATTTTTTCCTCCTCATAACTTTGCTGTGCCTTCCCATACATCTCTTACGAAATCTACTAGGCCTAACTTTGCCTTTTTGGATATGCTTTCTCAGGTGTGTTCTGTTTTTTTCGTTTTCATATCATATTTTCCTTCCTTTTTTACATAACATCCGTCATTAGAGTCCTTTGTTTTCCTTCCTACCCCATATATCAGGGTCCATGCTGAGTACTTTGTTTCTCACTTGAGGGCTAGCATTAGTGTGCCTCATCCTCTATGGAATTCTGATCATCATGCTTTGGCTTATCAGCAAGCTGATCAACCCATTCTCGACTCCCAACAGTTGGAGTCACTTTTACCAATGTCCAATGTGGGGGGCTGTTCCTGTTAATCCTATCCATTTCTCCCACATCTATTTCCCGCATTTTTCTTACCCTTACAGCTCTCCTACAGTACTTATCCAACATAGACCTCCTTTCAGAGGCACACCACTGATCCCTTGAGGGGTTTGGGGGGGATACACTTCCTTATTCCTCCTTGGTGCTATTGCCTTCTTTGGCCCTATTCATTGCTGTTGGGACCCCTTATCTTTGTGACTTCTAGATGGCTCTTTATATCCATTGGGTTGTTTTTTGGAGATTTTCCAGTGTCTTTGGTATTATGTATAGACTCTGTGAGTCCACATTCAACCCCTTAGTGTTTGGTTACTCGTTTGTGTTATTCTGATACCATGATCTCTCCCATAACTGTTCCTTATCTTGCAACTTCCCATCTTTTACCACTTCCTACTACTAGGGGTTCGAAATTTTGCTGGTGTCCCAGACATCGGGTTCATCATCACCAGCAGTTTTAGTGACTATCAGGTGGTTTCCAGTCTGGTTGGGGCACATTTGGCTGATTTTGTTCCCTATGGCAGTTATTCACTACCGATTATTGGGTGAACCAAGTTTTGTTGGAAGGATTTTTCATCCTTTTATTTCCCCTCCACATTTGTCTTGTGTATCGATTTCTGTCCCATTAACTCGGAATCTAGCTGCCTGTCTGTGTCTATCCATGGTTGTGCTGACCCTTCTTTCACAGAGAGCTATCAATCCTGTCAGCCAACCTTCTACAGGTTTTTTTTTGTGATCCATCTTCCTCCCTCAACCTATTTCTGGATTTTCCCCAAATTCACATGGAGTGCTCTATCACACTCAAGGGGGGGTCTCCAGGACTATAGATGACCAAGGTAGATATCTTCATATTGATATTTCTCATCAATCCAGATGCTATCTTCAGTTTGTCCACTATGGGGTTGTGTATAAGTTTTGTGGCTGGTCTTTTGGGCATGCTTCAGCATTGTATGTATTTTATTGGGTGGTCTCGGCTTTTGCCCAACTTCTGCATGTTCTAGAGTTGAGTTTACACCATTACATGGACGGCTGGCTCTTGTTAGCTCATTCCAAACTTGAGTCTTCTCAACACATGCATCTGCTGCAGACAGTAGCAGCTTGTGTTGGTTGGATTTTAAAGTTGGTGAAACTTCCTTTTGCCTACCCAATATCTTATTCACTTAGGTGTGTTTTTCAACACCCACCTCATTCACTTCCGATTATTGGGTGAACCAAGTTTTGTCGGAAGGATTTTTCATCCTTTTCCTTTCCCCTCCACCTTTGTCTCCTGTATCAATTTCTGTCCCATTAACTCCATTCAGTAGTGCTTTCAGTTCTCCATGCATTTATTGCCATCTCAGTTTCTGCATGAGAGGTTCTGTCACTTTTGAGGACTTTGGCTTCTAAAGAAGCCCTTATTCTTTTGGGTCAGGCACATATGCATTCTCTTCAGTGGACTCTGCATGGTCTATGGAATCTTGCTCTGGATCCCTTGGACTCCCCAGTTACCCTTTCTCCTTTTCTTAAAAACTATCTACATTGGTGGTTGAACAAGGAAAGCACAAATAAAGGAATACTACTTCATTGTTCCATTGCCCTTATGGCTTCTTTTGGTGGTTCCCATTTCCACCTTTTAATTCCCTAGCACCTTTCAACTGTAATTGATTTTTCTCATTCTACCTTTACAACTTGGGATTGTCAGCTGCCTCAATTGATCTATTCCTCCCTGTCTCTTTCTTCCCAAATCCAGTTCCAGGTGTCTTTGCATAAGATCAGGCACCTTCCATTTTTTTCCTGGATTCTCACCTTCATCGTCTATGACAGGAAACTCTTCAGTTAGACATGTGGCCTGCATCTCACTATATTCATTGGGTAGCTGTTTTTACCTCGTCAGGGTACCATTTTATGCATTTTGACATCCTTCAAATTTCTGTGCAGCTGTGACTGGGTAAGGTATCTTTTCTATATATATATATATATTTTTCCCTCCAGTAGCATTTCCCATTTAGGATTCAGATCCCTCTCAGTTGTGAGCATTGCCTGTCTAGGTATGCTTCCTATATTTGAAATCTGCACTGTTCAGCCAAGATATATACCCTTGGCCAATAATGCACACTGTCGAGATGGGGTGTTCCACCACAAGACTGGTTTTCCTTGTAATATACTTACTTCATTAATATGTCCATTCTGTATCATACTAACTCATGGACTTACATAAGTAAAGCGGATGGGGATAGCTGCTCATCCCTGCCATCCCTTCGATTGGATAAATCAGGAGTGGTCTACTTCTCAATATATGGTTTTCATTGTCACCCGTTGCACTGTCTTCAGTGTTGTCATTCCTCAGGACTCTCCACTGGATTTTATCTCCCCCTTGTTCTTCTAGTGAAGTATGGGAGTCCTTGTCGCTTTCCAGTTCTGAGCTACTGGGCTGGTGGACCATGGATACTTCCTCCTGAGCATGCTCACTTACATTCAGTAGAAAGTAAGGCAGTGTTTTTTTGCTGGTGTAAATGGTGTGCGATCCTCAAATCGTGAGCTCCACCTCCGTGAGGTGGGTCCCGGAGGTTGATGTGGTATCCAGCTTCTGTGCAGCTCTATCTGGAGGGTGAGGCTGCATATATTTTGTAGAGGTGATCCATTTCCTTGCAGTGGGACCCAGAAGTTAGCGTTGAGCTTGATGTTGTTTGGGGTGAAGGTTCTCCATCTAGTACACTACCTCAGAGTTTTTCCCTGCCTGTTGCTGCTGTTGTGCTGAAGGGTTTCAGTCAGATTGGATTTGGTTTGATGTGAACCACCACATCCCTTCGTAGTGTCATTCGGATGTCGAGTTCCCAGATATGTGGGTGGTTGTGGACTTGCACACATGCATCCCATTTAATAGATCAGTTTGACAAGTAAATAATTTTGTTATAATCCTGATGCCGCTTGGCTTTGAACTGGAGTTGACCGGCCATATTCGGTCCATCATGCCCAAGCCACTCTATACCTTGGAGCACTCCCATTTTAGCTTTCCCCACCTTCCTGTACATAGGTGGTTCTTCTCCAGTCATTCTTCTCTTAGACTGAGATTCAGGTATGTTGTGGTTCGGATTTGAACCACCCAGTTTTTCTCCCCCTTTTGGTTGTGCTCCTCCCACTTTCAACCCATGTATGCAACACCTATTTCCACACAGGGTGCAGAGTATACCTGGTACAGAAGTGGTGCAGTCTCCCACATGTGTTCATTTTCCAATGGGAATCACACTTCTTGGGTATTTTTCAGACAGTTTTGAAGATTACTTATTTCCATCGCTCACACCAGTCTCTTTGCTATTCAGTGTGAGATTCTAGCTATATGTGTGAGAAGAGGCAATGTACCATATCAGCAGTTATTATTTTCCTATACTGAAAAATTTTTCCAGTAGGTACTTACCTCCTTCCTCCCCACTAAACCAGTGCTTTCTTACCTGCCTAATCTCAAAGTGATAGTGTGGTAGAAACGAATATAGGAAGTCACATGCTTCAGGATGGTGTATCACACTGAAACAAGAAGAGCTATACATGTGAGTAGAGGTAAGTTCCTACTTGAAATATATTTCCAGTATAGGAAAATAACACTATTTCACACCTAAGATGTTTTTGATTAGATAATTATAACATTTTTATGAATTTTGATGTGCTCACTTCTCTGCAACTTAAAGAAAACTTTTAATATTAAAACTTCAATATTCATATTGTGTATATGGTTTAGTAAGATATTTTTTATATTCTTCATGTTATAACTTGAAGAAGTTAATGCTTTCAACTAATCTTTATATCATTATGAAAAACTAGTGACAATCATTTAGAAGATGTCATATGTACTTTAAAATAATTGATACAACTTTTATAATGTTTTTCTCAATTAGGTACCAGTCAAACACATCCACTAATTAAACTATTTCACTATGCATTTTAGAAAATATTGCTGTCTGCCCAATGCAACATTTTAAAGGCTTGATATGGAACTTAACAGCTGCAAATTCGCTTCATAAGCTTTACTGCCCAAAAGGATTCAAAGGTAAGACCATATTCCTAATTTCACAGTAGTAATTAAGGTGAGATATTTTATGGTATTACTGGGGTTATGTGTGTGTGAAAATTTCACAGTAGTAATTAAGTTGAGATAATTTATGGGATTACTGGGATGATGTGTGTGTGTGAAAAGGCAACTACAATAGATAAATCACATATTTTTAGTAAAAACTCTTAATTATAATAACTTCATTCTTTGTGTGTACAAGATACTTATGATCTTTAATAAAATTTTACCAGTTTTTGAGAGGATACATTAACAAATCGTAGAGTTACTGAATGTATTGTTGTACAAGTGAATTTCTTGACTCGATTTCCAAAATTGCACTGCGAAAGGGTTAAATTGGGCATATTGTTGTGTCAGCTAAAGACCATGAAACCAAGAAGTATTAGTTTAACTACATTATGTTAACTGCTCTGACTTCCATCCTTCATACTTGAAATGAGTTGAAGGGAAAGAGATACAGATAATAAAAGGTGTGAATATCTAATATCTAGGCAAATAATATTACACACTCTCCCAAAGCCGACATATACTGCTACACTATGTTCCACATCTGTGGTAGTAGTATAGTTGGATATTTCTGCTCTGCCTACAGAGTTTTTCTCTAACCATATGAAAGCTCTGTTTCCCTCCATATATAAATGGGTGAATATATCAACTTTGACCTCTTCTCTGTTCCAACCAGTTACATTAATGAGTGATAAAGCCTAGTTCATTTTTACCCCAGTGTGCAAAATCATTATTTTGGCTTGTACTCACTCATTCGGTTTCCAGCCATTTGATGAAGGACCTGCCCATGCCATCCAGGTTTGAAATCAAAACCCATATAAAGGATTCTCACCTAGGTTTCCTCCTAGTTCCAGGTGAAATAGGCCACACTGATATGGTGAAATTGTTGTGTATTTCACAATAATGTGGATAACATCAAAGCCTTGATCAATTTTACTGCCCTGTGTGTATCCCAGTTTAGGGGGCACCAGGTCCACATCCCTGTTTTTCTGCCCTATGGATCTTCTTTATTGGGCCCATACACATAAAATTCATTTGATGGCATGTTATGTACCGGGTGCTTTCAATCTCTTAGCTGATCTTCTTTCCCTACTGGATCGCATTTATCACATGGAGTGGTCCCTGCATCCTGTCATTTTTTGGTTGCTCTGTCTGCATCTGGGTATGCCCATATCAATATCTTTGCCACTGCCCTCAATTACAAATTATCTCAGTTTTGGTGCCCGGTTCTCCATCCTCAAGCCTGGCTGTCATTGCTTTCAGCCAGGATTGGTCTCATCTGTTCCTTTATGTTTACCCTTCCATCTGTTTACTTCATAGGGTGGTCTCTCTCATCCATGCTACTCTGTGTATGGTTCTTCTGATTGATCCTTATTGGTTTGCTCAACCTTGGTACCCTGGGTTGTTCCAACTGCAGGTGGTCCCTCCCCTTCTATCCTGACCTGTTCTGTCAATCCCAGCCACCAGCACTCCATCCCGTACCTTCCATATTCACGCCTGCCTTTTGTCTGCTCCTTGGTGAGGAGTTCTAGTTTCTCTCACAGATTAGCTTCACATTTAGTCTGTTTCATTGCCCTTCTTCTTTAGCTGTCTATCAAACAAATGGAGCATTAATATTTCCTGAGCATTGACTTGGGGTTCTGGGTTTCTCACCCAATGGTTGCCTGTATCTCTTAGTTTCTCAGCTGTGGGTCTTTGAGAGGGGTTTTTGGTCTCCTCGATTTCAGGGTTTCAGGCAGCATTATCCCATACATTCTGATTTTCCCGTTTCCGCAGGGTCTTTGCTTACCCTGTCCTTTCCATGTTGATCCATTCTTTCCAGCTCCACCAACCACCAAGGCATCCATTGCTCCCAGACTGGAACATTAATGTGGTCATTTGTGCCCTCACTTTACCTCTGTTCGAACCTCTATCTATGTGTTCCCTGTTTCACCTCTCTTTGAAGGCATGTCTACTCCTCCTCCTGGCCTGTGAGCATTGTAGGTCAGATATTTTTTACCCCTATATTACCAGGACCTTGTACCACTCTTCCTATCTATCCTTTATCCAGATTGTGTTTTCTTTCCTAAGACCTGTGCAACTCGAGAAGGTCAGTTTTCATTTTCCCCTATCTGCCTGTCCTCTATATCTTATCTTTTTACCCTCTTACTGATCTGGATAGACTCCTCTGTTCTGTCTATGCCATCCATTGTTATATTGCCCACATGGCTTCCATCTGGGCTCCTTGTTCCTGCATTTTTATCTCTTGGCAACCTTCCTCTTCCTGTGATCTTCATCCAGTTACCTTTGATGTTTGATCCAGTTGGCCTATTTCTCCTTGTCAGCATGATCTCTTTCATGTTTCCCCACATCAAATCCATCACCTTACATTCTCCCTTGCCTCTTGTCTTTCTCAGCCATTTGAGGAGATTCTATGATTGGGCATGTGGACAAATGCACTTGTTCATCTCCCACTACCTACACCACATTGCTGTTTCTGCCACCTGTGGCTATTCTACAGGTATTCTATCTGTACTCGAAATGGGTTTCACTTAGATGACTGTGACCATTTGCGGACATCTTGCTATCAAATATGTGCTGTAAGCCATGTTGATTCTTATATATTTTCCATGGCTATGTACTCTCACCCTAGAATGTAAATTCCTTGTGATAATTGCATTGTAATATGCCTGTCCTGGACTGTACCACCCATGGACAGCATGGGTTAAGCAGAAGGGGATTGCTGCCCATCCCTGCCATGCATAGATTGAATGAATTGGTGTGGTCTGCTTTTAAAAATAAGTTTTTTTTGTGATCACTGTCTTGGGTGTTGCAGTCCCTCCAGACTCTCCACCACACTTTTTCCCCCTTTCTTTCAGTGGAGTATGAGAATCCTTACCACTTACCAGTTCCAAGCAGCTGGGGTGGTTGACCATTGAGGCAACCTGCTGAATGGGTTCCACAAATATGACTATAACCATTTTGTTCAGAGTAGGATGGTGGTGCTCTGCCAATGTAGAGGGCGTTGCAAGATCCTCTGGATGAGTAACCAATTCCCTGTGTTGAGATGCTTAAATGCTGTTCACCACTTTGATTGGGTGCCCTCCTCCTACCTTTGCGTGGATGTCAGTACCAAGCAAGTGAGATTTTGGAAACCAAGTGAACCAATCATATAAGTCCTTACACAAGTTTTTTGTTGTCCATCTTCCCCTCTTGACTTGCCTTCTGTGTTCTGGGTCACAGGTCTAAGTGGCCTGTTTCTGCTTCTGTCCTGGGTTTTCCCTCATTAGATGAAGAGTTTGTTACCAAATGGGCGATTGGGGTCATTTTGGGCTGGTATCACCATTACGGGAGTTGAGTGCATGCAATGGGCTTCCCTTGGATTCTAGATGACACATTCCCAGATCCCTGGAATAAGGCTACCCTGTGAGTTCCTGGAGTCAAATATTAGGTTCCCTCTTGACTCTGGGACTTGATGTGAAGGCGGTATGATCCCTGTCCTACTTTTGTGAGGATGTTGGTACCCAGCAAGTGAGATTTTGGATGTAGTTGACTTGCCAAGTACAGTCCATTGCACCCTAGCCACTCTACACCTCTTGTCAAATTTCCCTTATGGGATTGAGTGATTCTAATTTCTGTTTAAGATCACATTGCTATTCTAGCCTCTCCTACACGAATGTACTCCCTTCATGTTCTGCCATGTTTGATCCTCCTGATCATGTCATTGTTCCTGGCAAAGAGATATCTGGCTCAGATGTGGTGCAGTGCCTCTCCTCAGATCATCTGATCTGTTCTTCTCATTTTGGGTGCTTCCATGGCATATGCCTGGGCTTCCCTTGCACCGGTCTCTCCTCCATTTGAATGTGGGATTCAAGCTAATCTTGTGAGTGGAGGGAGAGTACCTTATCGGAAGTTATAATTTTCCTAAATGAAGGTGTATTTTCGATAGGTACTTCCCACCAGTCCTCCCTACAATCTTCTAGTGCTCACATCTTCTGCCAAACTTCAGAGTGATAGTTCAGTAGTGGGGTGTAGAGGGAGTCGCGTGCATCATATGATAGTAGTGCTCTCCTATTGGTGGAGAGGTGATACATGATAATTTGCATGAGAGACATGTTGGAACAT